GTTCCAGGAATTAGGAAGGAAGGAATGAGAGTAAAAGGGTGCCCCTTACCTTTAAAACAACCTTTCCTGAGGCCTTACTTCACCTCAGTTTACCTCTCATTATGCAGAATTTGTCACATGGTCACAACTAGCTGTAAGCAAAAAAAAAAAAAAAATACAGCCTTTTAGTTGGATATCAGTCTGCCCAACTAAAAATTTCTGCATTCTCTTTGTAAAGAAGGAGGGGAGAATTGACATTAAGAGGAAACTAATGGTCTCCTGCTGTGTGAGGAACAGGCTGAAGAGAAGGACCCAGGCAGGGAACCCTTGGGAGGGAACCATGGAGGCCTGGACTCAGAAGTGGGGGAGGAGATGGGGAGGAGTGAACACTGAAAGCAGATTTGAAAGAACCACAGGACACTGGGCATGTGAAGGAGGCGGTGAAATCAAGCAGGTCTCCCAGTCTTTGAGTTTGAGCAGTTGAGCCAATAGGGAAGACAGGAGACAGTGGAAAGGGCAGGGGGCCAGGGGGTGTTGCTGCCAGCACAGGACCCCTCCCTGTCCTGCACAGGAAGGCCTAGACCCCTGGGCTGTCTGCTAGAGAATCCCAGGAAATCATCTAGCCCAGCTGTCCCTACGCTGTAGAATGCATCCTACTGAAGTGGGACCCATTAAATTCCAGGCCATGCATGGAAGAACAAACGTGGGAGCACAGTAGCTTTGTGGCCTCGGTTTGTAAGTTGCACCCTCTTGAGTGTCCTCCTGCAAAGTATGTTGTGGCCCTAGGGCCCCCACATTAGTGTGTGATCCTCAGGTCCAGGGGAGGTCTTGCCTTACAGGCGACCCCCACCCTGCTCTCAGGTCCTGACTTGTTCTGACTCAGGTGCTCCACAGATCTGCAGAAACCGTGAAGGTGGGGCCCAAAAAGGAAGTTTGGAAAACTCTGGCCAGGTCCACCACCCCCATTCCTCAGACAGGAAAGTACCCCAAGATTGCCCGAGGTCAGCCAGGCACGGGGAGCAGGATCGCTGCAGGTCCCTGACTCATAGGCCTCGTGCTGTTTTTAGCCCCAGGTGGAGGTGCCACCCCTGCTCACCCACAGCTGCTGCCCTGAGTCATCCCTGCCTGCCTGGGACACCCAAAGCCCAGGCCCCAAGGCCAGCTTTCCGGGTCACTGCTGCCGGTGAGGGCGAAGCCAGACTCCAAGGGCTGGGGTGTTGGGGATACTGACCCTCGGGAGCTGGATCAGGTCAGCATAGGGACTTGGCCTTCCAGCCTCCACACCATTGTAGCTTCCTTCCCAGGATAGGCAGTGGGGAGGGGGCACAGCTGCCAGAACTTTCTCACCGCCCTTCTGCAGTGGACAGGCTCTGACATGTAAATAGCACCTTAGCCAGACAGCTCAATTCTGGAAGAGTCTCCACTGAAGGCTTTGGCCCCACACTTCTTTTGTATAGACCTTTTGTTGACCACAAAACTTCCAGATGCTGACCTCATTTTCTTTGTGTCTCTCCCACCCCAAAGGACATCTGCAGACTTTCAGTACCTCCCACTCACTTCTAGAGCCACGTGCCATGGGCTGGGCAGTCTGTCTCTCCTCTAGCTTAATCAGAGGGTTGGGAGTTAAAGGAGTTTGCGGCAGAATAATTGTCTAGTAATAACGCTGCATGCAACCAGGCGCAGTGGCTCACACCTGTAATTCCAGCACTGTGGGAGGCCAAGGCAGGGAGATCACCTGAGGTTGAGAGTTCGAGACCAGCCTGACTAACATGGAGAAACCACCATCTCTACTAAAAATACAAAATATAGCCAGACATGGTGGTGCATGCCTGTAATCCCAGCTACTCCGGAGGCTGAAGCAGGAGAATCGCTTGAACCCGGAAGGCAGAGGTTGCAGTGAGCTGAGATCATGCCATTGCACTCTAGCCTGGGCAACAAGAACGAGATTCCATCTCAAATAATAATAATAATAATAATATATGCATGAATAAAATATCCCAATTCTGGAGAGCCCCTGAAATTGAGGAGATGGTGGGCCTAGTGTATCCCAGTTCCAGACTGCAGTGAGGGCTCAGTCTCTCTGTTGGGCTCCAGGACTCATGCAGGCTGAAACCAGGGGGACGGCGGCTGGAGAAGCTCCCTCCCCCGACCTCCAGCACTGAGCATCTTGTCTTGGGCCTGGTAGTAGTTAGGGTCTCTGTGAGTGCGAGTGGCAGAAACTAACGGGATGGGGCTCACATTCCAGGTCACATGAAGGGTAAGGGGACCCAGCCTTGGGGACCTTAAATACCATGACACTTCCCTGCTTCTTTCTGGTAGCTTTATTCTGAAAAGCTTCTCCATGGATTGGGGGACACTTGTGTCAGTGATACTAGTGACTTTGGGGCCACATCCTCTTAAGCTTCCCCCTTTGAAAAATCCCAGAGAAAGACTACAGACAGCCCAGCATGGTCACATGCCCACCAGCCACCGCCTCCACTAATCAACCCTCTTCCTTGCGTTGGCATCTCACACCTGTTTCCCAGGGCCTGGCATGGACTGGAAATCCTGGCATCCACAGGACTCAGGGTCCCGCACACTCCTGGCCCAGCCCTGCGCCCCCAGCCACACCTCTCCTTGTCGCTGGGACATCTCGCAGTGCCACTCAACTGGTGCACACCCTGAAGCATGGTGCCCCGGGCAGACAGTGGTCACCAGGCAGGGGTATTCTCAGGGCCTGCTAGGATTCAGCCAGGGACAGAGGAGCCACTCGGTTGGTGGCCACCTTGCATTTTGGTTAGGAGAGTGGTCTGAGCAAAGTCCTGTCAGCCACAGAGACACGTGAAGAGCAGACAAGATATGTCTGGTGCCTGGGCTGAGACAGGAGTTTGCTGTCCTCAAGACAGCTTCTAGAGGTTTAGGTTCCTCTAGAAGCTTACCTGAGACAAGGATTTGGGTAAGACAAAGAGTTTATGCGGGGGGTCATTTCAGGAAGCACCGAGGGAGTGAGGAAGCCACCAGGAAGGGAGGGAAGCCATGAAAGTGAGCTCATGGGTGGCCTGCCACGTTGGCAGCTGGGGCTCCATCCCATGGGGATCCTGTCCGACTGTTGAGCTTGTCTCAGAAGTGCCTCCCTAGGAGGGCAAGGAAGCGGAATATTTGCCCATTCCTGTCTGTCCTGGGCACTAACTCCCAAACTATACAGCCAGCTATAGACCCAAGGCAGTGAGCTCCATGGGCAGAGGCAGGAAGGCGGCCCAGGGCAGCACCTGCTCTGCCCTCACCTGCTTCAAGTTGGACGTTAAAGACTGTGGCTGCCTCAGATGCAGCGCAGAGGTGATCTAGACACCTCTACCAGGCATTGTCAGCCGTCCAGGGTGCTCTTAGCACAGGTGGGTCTGACCAAAGAGGCTGGCCCTGGAGTCCGAAGGCTCCTCATCTTGAGTCTCAGCCCTGCCACTCACCATCTGCGTTGTTAAGTGAGTGCCTTCCTCTCTGTGGCCCTTAATTTCCCCAGTGTGAAATGGGGTTGGTAATACTACAGCGACTGCTGTATTAACTGTGCCACAGCAATGCCATCTAACAAACCTCTCCTAAACCCAGCCACTTAGTTCTGCTGCACATCAGAGACCCAGGGCAGGCTCCACTCTGTACCGTGCTCCCCAAGTCCTCTTCCCAGGATGAATGACAGAGCCTGGGCATATTCATGGTGATGGCAAGGCCCACAAGGACCAACAGAAATACACATGGCCTCTTGAGCTGGCACAGTGCCACCCCTGCACCAATCTGTGGGCCACAGCAAGTCCTGTGCCATACTCAACATGAAGCAGACAGGAAATAAACTTGCCTTTAGCAGGAGGAGCTACAGAGGTGCAGGGCAAAGGGTGTGGGCAGAGGAAGGGTGAAAGGCCCGGTGACACAGCTCCTGCCACTTGATCCTGAAGTGGGGGACGTTCTGGGGACGGAGTGTGTGCACCAAATCCTTTGTACACTAAGTAATACTCCTGTGTGCAAAGTGGTAGTGATGGTGTGGTCCGGGATGTCTCCAGGAGACGTATCTTCAAAGACCACCACACTTCTGGTTGTGGTGTTACATGTATGGGATTGTAGTCTTTGAAAACAGGCGACCCCACTCTGGTATCCAGGATAAGGGGAAGGGGAAAAAACCTGTTAATTATGCAGTACTTTTTCTGTAATTCCAAAGAGGCTCAGCCTACACGTGTGCACCTTAAGCAAATTCAGCTACACCCACTCAGACAAGGAGGAAAGGAGGAGGCAGAGGAGGAGAGCGCTTCAAACTTATTACCTGTCCCTTTCCCCTTCGCATGTTTCACCTGACTTGGGGGCTTCCCCTGCCCCCAGAAAAAGGTAGGCCCAGGTCACAAACAGATCAAGAGAAATTAATAAAATGGACTTTTGGCTTTGAGCAATCCAAGGGCCAAAGTTCTTGAGATTTAACGTTGGCATGAGGGGTTTTTGCCATCTGCACTAACTCAGCAACCAGCCCCTCTCCTCCCCCAGCCCTGAGGCACAGTCCCCCTGTGGCCCATCCCTCAGCTAACCAGAATTCTCCACCGAAACGCCTGCTCCCCCACATAGCCCAGTTCTAGGGACTCCATTCCGCCCTGCCTAAGAAGTATAGAAAAGTACAACTCAGCCAAGAACACTGATTTTTTTTTTTAATTTTCCCCAAACAAAATACCGAGTTTTCAGGATGAAAGCAGAGCTGCTGGTTGAGGGTGGAGAATGGAGCCCAGCCCACTCTCCCTTCACTGCCTGGGAAAACTCTGGGGCTCCATTGGCTGCGGCTTGGAGCTCCTGCTTTAGGACGTCCATGTGGTAGAAGGCCCCACGGGCCCCAGGAACCCCTACTGTGCGTGCTCAGGTCGTGGCCCTCCACGGAGGAGGGTGTGGGCTGAGCTATGGTCCTGCTGAACTGGCTGGGCCCTCATCACAGTTCCAGCTGGGGGAGAGCCCGTGGCTGGCAGGGGTCTTCTGTCCTCACCAAAGCCTCAAAGCCCACCATCCATCTCTCCTCACAGGCTGACGCCAAGATGGTGTGCGATGTGGTGAGTCGGATGGAAGACACCGAGCCCTTCTCTGCAGAGCTGCTTTCCGCCATGATGCGGCTTTGGGGCGACTCAGGAATCCAAGAGTGCTTCAACCGGTCCCGGGAGTATCAGCTCAACGACTCTGCCAAATAGTGAGTGTCCCCGCGGGCAGGCGGCCTGCAGCCAGGCAGTGATGCAGGAGTGGAGGGGCATTGGCGATGGGGATTGGCAGAGCAAGGAGGATTCTCAGCTGAGCTCACGCCTGCCGGGAGATGTTCTGCCGCAGGTGGGGGGTGTCAGGATGCAAGGAGAAGGGGCCTCTCCTGCCCCCAGGAGGAGGAAAAGGCCAGAGAAGGCAGAGGGCACAAGAGACAACCAAACAGTGGAAATTCCCAGAGGGCTGGGACCTTGTCACTGGCTTGTCCGGAGAGTGCCTGGCACTGCAGGAAGACTGCTTTCAGTGTAGCAGCTTTGTTTTGTCATGGGGAGACCCTGACCCCATAAATATAAACAAAACCAAGAGCCATATAGGCAGAAAATAAATGGTGCCATTTTGTTTTATTTTAAAGAAGATAATAAGCTATTCCATTCCTCTATCTTTAAAATTAAAAATAAGGATTACATAAGTCTAATTAATGTAATAAATGTATACGTTAATACTGTGTTATAACTAAATAAGGGGATGATAGGAGAGTCGAAGGAAGAAACGAAGGGGAGAGAGGGAGAAAGAAGAAGAGATGGGGAGGTGGGAAGTGGTCAAAGCCAGGCTGTTAGAAGGTACCCCTGGCTTTTCCATGACAGCAGGGTCACAGGTCCGCCGGCTGCAGCTTCATCACTCTAGGCATCTCCAAGGACATCCTGACTGCGTCTGTGCCCTTGGCCCCTAAATTGGAGGCTCCAGAGCCCTGGGAGGGTCATGTCGCTCAGGGACGTGTCTTCTGTCATGGAGATACTGGGATTGCCCCCTTGGCTTTCAGGAAACATACCCGCTTTTGCAATCTGGTACCATACATTCAGTGGGGGCTTTCTGCAAGGAGCCCCTGCGCTTTATCCCACTAGCTGAGGAGGCTCTGACATGATCCAGTCCAGCCATTTTCACCAGGTCTTCTCAGCTGGGACCATTTTACCCCCAGAGGACATTCAGCAACATCTGGAAACATTTTTGATTGCCATTTTTGAGGATGGTGCTCCCAGCATCTAGCACGTAGAGGTCAAGATGCTGCTAAACATCCCACAGTGTGCAGGAAGGCCCCCACAACAAAGTTACATGACCCCATACCTCCATATTGCCATGATTAAGAAACCCTGACTGCGCAATCTGGACAGAGGCTGAGGCCAATGTGCACTCCTGGACATTTCCATGGGCCACATGACAGCTAACAGACCTAGGGACTTGAGCAAGGCCAGGAGCAACTTCCCATTTCTGCACACCTAGACTGTCCACAGGGCAAATGCCAAAGTCCTGTGAGTCCCAGGTGATGGCTACCTAGGCCCCAGGCCTGATGAGCTCCCAGGGACACCTTGGTGATCAAGGCAGTGAGCCCAGAGGCTCGGTGTCCATCGTTCCCTGTGCACACGCAAATCACAGACCAGAGCCAGGCAGGAGAGAGTCACTTTCAGCTGGCCACCTGCAGGACCAGAGAGGCCCTCCTCCCTTCTCCCATTCCCTGTCCCTACCCTAGAGTCCAGGGCCTCCTCCTCCCCAGGGCCAGCAGGACCCTCAAGGGCCCTTAGGGCCAGCTGGCCCCAATCTGTCTTCTAGTGGCTCACCAAATCCTGCTCTCCACTTACATTTGTACCCATTTCACTAAGTATAACATGAATCCTTTACAAAAAAAAAAAAAAAAAAAAAAAAATTTAAACAAATGCAGAGGGATATAAAATGAGAAGGAATCTTCTTCCTACTCCCCCCACCAGCTCTGCCCCTCCCACTTTTACCCATATCCATTTATTTGTCCCAGTGGCATCTAGAAAACTTGATCCTCCAACTCAAAATAGTATTTACTGCCACCCACTCTGGAATCGAGGGAGCTCAGCTCACCTTCCTTCCTTCCACCACTCTCCACCTTCACCTCCGGGTTTTTGCTAGTTACAGGATTATTTTTAGTTCTTCCGCTGCTTACCTTTATAACTTTAAATAAGAAACTTGAGTCAGTATTTGTCAACTCCCCACCAAGTAAGCTGAGGAAATTCTCCTCCCCACACCCTTGTCTCTGCCTTCTTTCAAATTTTCCACTTCCAAGGTTGGTGATGTTACCATTCTCTTCTGTCACCATGACTGGGCCTTCTGTGTCTTCCCTCTGAGAGAGGGTGGGAAGGACAGGGGATGCACAAGTGGTCAGGGCTGGAAGGATCTGGCACATTTCCTATCTTAGCAGTTAGACCTCAGCTTCCGACAAAGTCTTGGACCCAGTAGAGAAAGCAGATCGGAGTAGATTTGTTGTGCTGGAAGGGAGGGGGAGGCCTCACAGGGCTGTCACAGCACGTGCTTCCAGAGGGTGCCATTGCCACCCTAATGCCCCAACCCCCAAGCACCTCTCTGCCCAGCCCTTTGCAGGGGAGGGAGCAGGGCGCAGGCTCCTGAGCAGGCTCTTGGTGCACCCCGGCCTCTGTGAACAGGGCTGGCTCTCCCCTCTGGATAGTCACCTAGAGGCAGGTCCCCGAAACTCTGGGCATATCCAACCAGGGTCTGTAAAAGGTGCTCTGGGGCCTGGTTGCCATTGGTTTTCCTCAAATCCGGTTCTCCAGTGAGTTGTTTATGTCAGTCCCCCAGTGCCTGGGACCTCCTTTCACTCCCGGCACCTGCCCCTTCTCCGGCCGCCCTTTCCAGACTCCCTCGCTGCCTCCTGCCCACCCACCCAGGGGGCAATTGGTGACAGGGGAGGCCTGCTGGGGCGGCTACATCCCATCCCCAAGCTCCATCCCAGAAGCACAGTCAGCACCCACTGTTCCAGGTGCTGGGGACGGGGCAGTCTACACAGCCTTCTTGACTGGATCGTTAAGCAGCTCTCCCACACCTCGCCCCACCCTCCACATCCCTTTGCATGAGGCTTGGCCAGCATAGAGAGGCCAAAGGGCCAGGTTGCCCATCTAAAGATTTGCCCTGGCTAGGAAAGGAGAAGCAAGACCAGAGGCTTCCAGGCTGATGCCAGCTGCAGATGACAGCAGGGGCCGTCTAGTACAGCTTGGAAGCAGAGGCCACGAGCACCAGGGTGGAGCAGGCACAGAGGCTTGGGAGGGCTCCTCCTAGCTGAGGCCAGAGCCTGCCCAGATACCACTGGCTGGCGAGGAGGCTGTGGGGCCAGGGGCACGTACAGGTCTGCTCTGCAGCCTTGGCTCCCTCACCCCCATCCCTACACTGTGACTTCTACAGAGGGCAGTCAGGATCAGGAGAGGAGGCCCAGAGTCCTGTTCAAATTTTTTTTCTTGAGTTTTAAAATGCTGATGGAGTCCAATTTAAGAGTATGAGTTCTGGAGCCAGTCAGAATTGGGCTGAATCCCAGCCAAGTTAATTTTCTTTTTTTTTCCTCTCTGAGATGGAGCCTTGCTCTGTCACCCAGACTGGAGTGCAGTAGCATGATCTTGACTCACTGCAACCTCTGCCTCCCAGGTTGAAGTGATTCTCCTGCCTCAGCCTCCAAGTAGCTGGGATTACAGGTGCCCACCACCATGCCCAGCTAATTTTTGTATTTTTAGTAGAGACTGGGTTTCACCATGATAGCCAGGCTGGTCTTGAACTTCTGACCTCATGATCTGCCTGCCTTGACCTCCCAAAGTGCTGGGATTACAGGAGTGAGCCACTGCTCCCCATTACCAAGTTCGTTTTCTCGCAGTGTGACTTCAGGCTTACCTCCCTGAGCCTTGGAATGTACCGTTCTGTTTTATTTTCTTAGCGGCCATTCTCACAAGGATTCTCACTGGGTTCTATCAGTGAACACCCTAACTGGTGAAGGTGTCCACCCTTCCCAGCGCTGTGGACGTCCATGAGCTGGTCAGCATGCCCATCTCTCTTGCAGTGGTGACCGCAGGTCCAGCCAGCTAGCTGGCCCCCAGCAGGTCCTGGAGCAAATGCAGCCTGGGACCCCGCATCATCCTGTGGCTCAGACACTCAGGGCTTCTCCCTGTGGGCTGCATGTGGTTCATCCTGACAGCTAGGAGGGGTGGCCTGGCAGTCTCCGTGGATCCCTGAGTCTTCCTTCAGGCATGGCCCAGCTCTCCACTTTCTGGTTTCCCAGATGCTATCCTGGCATTAGTTTCAAACTTAACCCATAATGAACCCAAAGCCCTTGCAGGCAGCATCCTTTGAGTGCTAGGCCTGAGGCCTGGGCAGGTGACGAGCAAAGGCCTGTCTGTCCCCACAGCAAGAGGTAGCTGGAAAGAGAGCCCTGATTCCAAAGACTGGGTCCCAGGGAGGCCCAGCCACTGTGTGGCTGTATAGCCCTGAGCCTCCAAGAATGTCAAATGGGAAGGTGAATACAGACCCCTTGGTAAGTGAGAAGGAAGTGTGGAAAAGGCAGGGAGTGGCTTGAGGGCCTCTGAAGCGCTAGAGAGTATAAGAGTATGGCCTCTGGGGCCAAGTGTCTGGGTCATGGCCTCAGGCCAGGTACTTACCTTCAATGAGCCCCAGTTTTAGAACATTTAACTCAGGGAAATTAAGCATGAAGCACAGTTACACATGGAAAGAATAGAACCTATCTGTTGGCCACTATTATTTTTTAAACGAAGAAATGACAACACAGTATTATTATAAACATGGTAGTCTCATGTAAAAGCCTGATCTTGTCTGAGTGTCCCTGGAGTTGCGTGCATAGCCTTTTGGCTGTGAATGAGAGGCCAAAGTAAGATCCTCTTCCTCAGTTGTCCCCACTCCCCATGGCCAGGGATGGAGGCAGTGCCATTTCCACATGGAAATCTGGAGGGCCCTGGCCGAGACTGGACTCTGAAGGTGGGTGGCCTGGCCAGTCCCAAGCAATGCCCAGGCTTTTGGTCCATGGTCCCGTTTGTTGCCATCCCCAGCTACCTGGACAGCCTGGATCGGATTGGGGCCGCCGACTACCAGCCCACCGAGCAGGACATCCTCCGAACCAGGGTCAAAACCACTGGCATCGTAGAAACCCACTTCACATTCAAGAACCTACACTTCAGGTGAGGCCCAGGGAGGCCCGCAGACCCTGGCGAGGGCTATGACGGGACACATCCGGCTTCTTAGCGTATCTCGTCTGCAGCGCCCAGACAGCGTCCTCCCCAGGGAACCCGCAGGTTGGGGCAGGCAGCTGGATACCAGAAGGAACCTGTCTGTTTCTGTCAAGTTTAGGGGATGGGGTGAGCAGGGAGGCTTCCTGGAAGAAGATTCCCAGAGTGGGGCTATGAGGAGCAGGCAGAATTTGAACAAAGGAGGGGCAACCTGTCCCTGAGGTGACTTCCAAGGAGGAGGAGGAGGTAGGCTACCAGGTGGCCCCTCCAAGGTCACTGAGAGGGGGGCTGGGTAAGCTTAAGCAACATCTGTGAGACCCCGAGGACCCATGTAATTCCAGAGCTGGAAGGAGTGGAGAGAGCTGACCCACCCTCTCCTGGTACATGTGGGAAGGTGAGGCCTAAAAAGAGCAGGGCTTTCCCCAGGCATAGAGCACAGCTAGAACCCAGGGGCTCTGGGGCCTCAGAGCAGGGACCTGGTGGGTAAGCTGGCTCCTGGGAACCTGCTGCAGAGCTGTGTCCCCACCTGCAGTAACCTGCATGCACTGAGGCCTGGGAGCCCTTGCTCCGACTTGTGGGGAAGAGAGGCCAGCAGAGAAGGGGAGGGCAGGGATCCCCTGCTGGGAGAGCTGGGTTCTAATATTCCCTGCCTCTCATGTGCCCAGCCGTGCCCACTCCTGTTCAGACTGAGGGGCCGAGGCTCTGGGCCCAGGAACTCCTAGGCCTCCACGGATCTGAAGAACAAAACCTTGGGCAGAGCAGCCTTGAGGGGCCTCCCTTGCCTTCCCAGGCTCCTTGGTCTCTCCTGCTTCCCCATTGCGAGCACAGGATGGGGATCTCGCCAAACCTGGCCCAGCAGGCAGGGTCTGAGAATAAGCATTCCTGAGGGGCCACAAAGGCCATCTGTCAACACCCCTGCATTTCAGATAAGGAGGTGGGATCCAGGGGAGGCAGTGATAGGGTGAGAACCAGACCCATTCCTTGCTCTAAGCCCACTCTGATCTCTGCCTGCAGTTGCTCCATTCTGTACAGTTGGACCAGGAATCCTTCCCTGTCCCCCTCTGGCCGGCTGTGTGTCAGCAGGCTTCCCAGATCTAGGAGACTGCAGGACTCCTTGCTCTGGGGGTTGGGGTGGGCGACTGACCTTTTACTTCGAGGACATAAGTCCCACCTGCCTGCAGTCTCTCCCACAGTTTTTGTGCCCCCTCGGGGGTGGAGTTTGAGAGGGAGAAGAGACCAGGCTGTGATCTGCTGGAGAGGGGCTGTGCTGGGCAGAGGTGAGAGAGCCAGCTTTGTCCACAGCCAGACCCAGCTCCACCGCAGCTAGACTCTCGCCAGCTTGGGCATGTCTTAACCCTGTGGGTGGCTCACTTTTGCCATCCATATAACAGGTGACACCTTCTGCCTGCCTCCCTCCCAGGCTGGTTTGCCCAGAGCAAACCCAGGAAGGAATAGACTGAAGACACCTTGGGAGGAGGACTCTGAGAGGCGCTTCCTGGGGGCCAGCTCGGGTGTGCCCTCTTAGTAAAATGCCTCAGATGCAAGGGCAGGTCTTTGAGTCATGATACGTGAGCACAGCCAGTCCAAGGACAGACTCTGGGGGCAGTGCCTGGGGATGGCAGTGGTCCAGATGTCTCTCAGCACCTGGAGTGACAAGGCCTGCTAGTGAGGGCTTCTAGCAAGGCTCTGAGTGCCGTAGTCCCCATCTTCTGCCTCTCAGCGTGCTCACAGCTTGACCCCCAGGCAGCCCTCACCTGCCTGGACCCTGCACCCACCAGCTCCCTGCCTCCTACAGGCTGTTTGACGTCGGAGGCCAGCGATCTGAACGCAAGAAGTGGATCCACTGCTTCGAGGACGTCACGGCCATCATTTTCTGTGTCGCACTCAGCGGCTATGACCAGGTGCTCCACGAAGACGAAACCACGGTGAGTGGCCTGGGCCCCCCCGGGCAGAGGGCAGCACAAAGGAGGCAGCAGCAGGATAGGTCAGCCCTGTGAGCGCTGGCCCTCGGGTGCTCACTGTGGCTCTGCGGTCCAGCCAGCTGCTGTGGTTAGGGGTTTCCATCATGGGTGGAACCTGCCAGCACCCTCCACCACTCCGTATTGCCAAGGCAAATGCTTCATGATGCCAGTGTGGCAAAGAGTTTCATGGGCCCCTGGCCCAGAGCCTGTGTGTGCAAACTGATCACACACAGCCATACAGAATGTGAAACTTGGCGGAGTCACAGAGGCCATCAGGCCAGAGCAAAATTAAGCAAACCCTAAAAAAACCAGGAGGCAGCCAAGCAAGAAGGTACATGCAACAGAAATAGCATTCCTAGCCTGACAGCCGTCTCTGGGGCACTGGCCTCAGATGCTACTGGAGCAGAGTGGGGCCGGGGGATGCTGCCGGAGAGTTGTGTGGGGCTAGGGGGCTGGGGAGCAGTGTGCGGGGTGGATGGGCCGGGAAGGGAAATGGGGATTAGGCATGCTGGTGAGTGATAGTTGTGGCTCTGGGCTCCTTTGCCGAATGCCAGACCAGGCTCCTACCTTCTGTCTCGCGTCACATTCAGCCTGGGGCCTCAGCGGGGAAACATTCCCCTGGGAGAGTGCAGCCTTCCTCTGGGCCTCGTCCTGGCTCTGCTACTCACTGGCTTGCTGCTGAATTTAGGCAGCACCCTTTCTGGCTCAGTTACTAGTTTCCATAAAAGGAGGATAATAATAGTACCTGCCTGTGCGGGGCTGTTGGCAGTGGGATGGGTGATCCACGTGCAGCACTGTGGAGCTGTTTCTGGAACAGCAGCACCAAGCTGGTGGTTGTACGGTTGCTGGTGATTGCCCTGAGCCTGCGTGTCCACTCTGTGGTCCCCTTCTGGCCTGCAGCCCACCAGGCACTGAGCATGGCTCACAGGGTCTCTGGAGATAAGCCCCAACACTCCCGACAGTGGGGCCCATAGGCCATGGGGTCACAGGCATCTGTCATCTCCTTGTCTGGAACACATGCAGACCCCCCACCACACGCCTCTGAGGGCTGGCACTGAGGGTTTGAGGTTTGAGGTGGGGCTCGTTGTCATGCTGGGCCTTGAGCGAGGCCTGTCTTCTCTCTGGGTCTGTTTCCTTGACAGTTCTGGCCCCGCTGGTCCACAGGGTTTTGTGAGGATGGGATGGGCTTTGGGGTGTAGGCTCTTGGGCACAGTGCTATAGGGAGGAGGAACCGCCGCCCTGAGGAGCTTATGCAGAGTGATGGGGCTTTGGGCTGGTGGTGTGGGTAGTCTGGACCCGCTCCGTGTACAGGCTCACCCACCTGGGTCTTCCTGTTTCAGGCCCACCTGCACCCCTGACTTGAGTTTCTGCTGTAATTGTTCTCAATGGCATCGGCAGGCAGTGATGTCAGTCACCCGCCTAGTCTTGACGCTGAGTGGGGCAAGGGTGGATGAACTTCCTGGGCCGTGCGTGCTTGGACCCAGACTCACTGACCACCCAAAGCCCAGGTCAGCCCTCTGGCCATGCGCCCCTCATAGTGACTGCCCAGACTTTTCCACTGCCTGTTGCTGGACTCTGTGCTGTTAAGGTGACTGCTCCAACCCCTGGGATCTGAGCTCCACTTGGCTCATCTTTTTCCCCATGGTTTCAAAGACAGCAAAGGAGCTGGAGGCAGGAAGCTGGAAGAGCCCTTCCCTCTGGAATCCAGCCTCTCCCTGGGCCTGCCTTGCCAGGCCTGTGGATGGCTTCAACCCAAGTCCCAGGCCCGCCGGCTATGGGGCTGGGCTCTTGCTCACCTCTAGAGGATGGAAGCGAAGGGACGTCTGGGTGGGCCTAGCAGCTACAGGCCCAAGCTCTGCTGCCCGTGGGTCCCCAGTGAGCATGAGACTGGTGCTGGGCCTCGCACTGGGTGACCTTCCAGTCTGTGGGCCTTACTGCCTGCAGTACTTGCCCTCCAGCCTTCTCCACCTTCTCTCATCTCCCTTCTTCCCTGTTTCCCCTACTCTTCCACATAACGGCTGGAGCAGAGGACCTTGGAGAAGCCAAAGCAAATGGAGCCAAGGTCACGGGCAGGCTCTTCCTGGTATTCTTCCTTCCCCAAAGCTGGCCACCTTCGCAGCCCAGGGAAGAGCAGCAGCTCATGCAGGGACTAGGGATGACTGCAACTTGACAGCAGCCACAAAGGCAGTTCATTGCCGTAGTGGCAGCAAGAACAATACTGCGGCTGTAGAACTAAGCAGTCGCCACGTGCTGGGGTGCATGCAGAGGTTGGCAGCTTGGGAGTCAGACGGATCTGATCCAGGGTCTAGCGTCACCCCTGCCAGCCATGTGATCATGGGCAACCACCCCACCCTGCCCAGGCCTCCACCTCCTTCCCTGTAAATGGTGACAATGATAGAATGGTCTCACCGGCCATGTGAGGACCACAGGGCTAAGGGCTGTCAATGTGCCTGCATGCAGGAATCATCACTCAGTGAATAGCTGCTGCAGCTACTGCATTCAGACGCCATGGCTAGGGGTTAGGTGGTAGGATATAGGAGCTCTGTAGGATACAGGCTGTCTGCCTTGGTCCTCCGCCGTCCTCTCTGATCAGCGCTGCGTGTCCCTCCCTGGCCTGGGGTGAGAGTGGGGCTGAGAGCCCATGGCAAAGGTGTCTGGAAGCAGCTCCTGGAGCCAGGCCAGGAGTGCCTTGGTAGTGGCTGCTGCTGGCCATCCAGCCGCCCTGTCCACTGCATCCTGGGAGCCCGAGAGCCTGGTCCTGGCCTCATACCTGCTCTCAGCGCCGCCCAGCCGGGCCTGAGGCTGCCACCACTTCTCCACTACCACTGTCGCTGCCACCGCCTGCAGGGCCTTACCTTGTCAAACCAAGGCCAAAACCATGAGCAGATTCTGAGAGACCCTCCAAGCCCGGAAGGTATGAAGCACCTCCCTCCAACCGAATCCATCAGCTAAGAGTTGAAAGCAGCAGGTTCTCAGGGCGCTGCTGGTGACTTTGCTGTGATGCCTGCCCAGCCCGCCCCTGCGCCCGCACTCCTCTCCAGCCCCTCGGCCGGGGCTCGTCCTACCCATCCTGCCTCTCTTGCCCTGCGGTCCACAGGCCCAGGACGGCCCTGGCCCCCATGGGCCCTCGTGGGGCTCTCGGCATGAACTGGCTGGGATGCCCTGGCCCTGACACTGGTTGAACCATTTTTTCAGAATTTTTCTCTCTTTCTCTTGTTGGGTTTTTATCTTCTTCTCTGTTTTGATCTGTTTTGCTGTGTTTCATCTTGGGGTTCCTCTGGCCCCTCTACTGAGAAACCAGCCCCAACAACCAATTCTCCCCCACCCCAGCCCACCAACGAAACCACCAAGCACACCAAGGCCACAGCAAGCTCACCCCCGAGACGCCATCCCCCTGGTGTCTGCTTCCAACTCGGAATTAATTCGAGGATCTTTTAGTCCTCGGTTAATGTTTCCCAACTGAATGCGTGCACCCTCCCAACCTTGCTGTCGAAACCGAATGAGACCCGGTAGAGAAATCTGCATGACTGGGGTTCCACGCAGACGCGTTCGGTGGTGGTTGCGGCCCCTGCCCTGTACGTGCATGGTGCATGTCCTCTCCGTGAGCTGGAGTCTCTCCAGTGACCTCACTGCCCCCACCCGGGGCCAGCTCTCTTTGGAAGGGGGCAGCATCCACCCACCCTGCCCAGCCCTGCTCCACCCCGCCCTGCCTGCGTGTGGAATGATACAGGACCACATCCCGTCTGTCCTTGTGGATCCTCCTGTCTCCGTCCTGGTAGTCTCCGTCCCAGTGGTGTGTCCAGCCGCATTGGTGGACCTTCCCTTTGCTTGTCCCGCTGTGTCGTTGGCCGCGGTGGGTCAGGGCCCTGAATGCTGCCGCCCCTCACTCGCCCCTCCGCTCTGTTGCAGAACCGCATGCATGAATCCCTGAAGCTTTTCGACAGCATCTGCAACAACAAATGGTTCACAGACACGTCCATCATCCTGTTTCTTAACAAGAAGGACATATTTGAAGAGAAGATCAAGAAGTCCCCGCTCACTATCTGCTTTCCTGAATATACAGGTAGAGACCCCTCCAAGAACAGCAGGACCCCGAGGGAGCGGGCCCTGTTCCCAAAGCCCAGTCCACCCTTCCTACACTCTGTGGATGCACCCAACTCTGCCTCAGAGAATCTGCACAAACAGGCCCCCAACCTGCCCCCAGATTGTGCCATAGAGAGGAGGAGCAGCTAGCCAGGGCTTCCTCACCAGGGAAAGTAGGTGCAGCCCTGGCTCTGCCACTTATAAGCTGTGTGACCAGGGCAGCTTCTGGGAACCTGAGCTCCACTCTCTGCGCTCAGGGGCTCTCTGTGATGAGAGATCGCTGAGAAGACGAGGGGCAGTGCACAGAGGCTGGGAGTCAGGCGGCCCAAGGTTTATGCCCCAGCTCCGCCACTCACAGGCAGCTCAGGCGGGTCATGCAGCCTCCCTGAGCCTTAGTCTCTGGGTCTGTGAGGTGGGGCGATGGCTGTGATTGCCCTCGCCTCCCTCACTGGGTGCTGTGAGGAGGAAATGAGCTGACAGGTACGCAGAGTTTCGCGTGGTGCTGCACATAGGAACGGCTCCCTGTGTGTCTGCTCTTGCCATTAGGGGTATGCCTGTAACTCACATGCATCCTAACACCACCTCCCACATGCGGCTGCCGCAAAATTCAAATCACAGAGCTTTGCAAGCTGCAGACCCCTGGCGCCCTGCATAGGGTGCAGGGGATGAGAGGCCAGCCCTGCCAGTGCTATGATGGGTTTACCTGACCATGGGGTGGGCGGGCAGCCAGGAAGGCAGCATGACCAGGGCCCCTGAGGAGCTGCAGGGTGGCAGCCCTGGTCAGTGACACCAGAGCAGTTACAGGCCCCAGCATAGCCCAGGTGCCCATCAGCTCTTCTGAGATGGCCAGACCCTGACCAGAGAAGTGAGTGGGAGGAGATGTGGGGCAGCCCAAGGGCTTGGGGCCAGGCAACCTACCTCCTGCCTCTGCCCATCCCCCCAAATCAGGCTGAGTGCCAGCAGGCCAGGACCTAGCTGTGTCCAGCCAGAGATGAGTGGGGCTCAGCCTCCCTGGAACCCCCAAGCCAGCTTCCTCTCTAGCCATAGTTGAGGGCCTGTGGATCCTGCCCTAGTGACCTGGGCTTGTGGTTTGTGGGGCATGGAAACAGGTGGGTACGTCAGTTACCAAGGCCAGTTTGGGGCTGACATGGGGAAGGAGGAGGGAATGAGGGAGCCTGAGTAGCCAGCTGCAGTCCTAGGACACTCCCCAACTTCCAGCCCAGACTTAGCAAAGCACTGAGGTCTGGTAGAGCCTCCAGGCTTTCTGCATAGCAGCCCACTCCAGCTGAGAGCCATGGCTCTGAACTCCAGCTCCCCTCCTTGCTGCCCCTCCACAGATTGTCGCAGCCCTGCTTGTGCCTGGCATGGATTCGTGGAGTCTGAGGGCCTTCAGTGCAAAGCTGGGGTCCTGTGCTTCTGCCCCTTCCCAAACTGGAAGCTTCTCTCCTAGATACCCCTCTCCCTGATCCCACCTGGGAACCAGCTCAATGTGGTGCCCCCTAAGGAGGGCAGCATGTGAGCCAGGCAATGAGTGAACATCAGAAACCAGAAGTTTCTAGGCGCCTCCTTCCACCTGGCCTAGCAGTGGCCGTGGAGGTGATGTTAAGGCCTTCTCTGTGGACTCCCAAAAGAAAGGGCCCACCTGCAGGTCGTGCATTGGCCAGGGCTACCTGCATGACCCCCAGTGCCCTCAAACCTCCTTGCACATGACCTGTGGTAAGATACGTTTGCCTCAGGAGTCCGTAAATAACCAGGCACAGTGGCTGAAACCTGTAATCCCAGCACTTTGGCGGATCACCTGCGATTAGGAGTTCGAGACCCAGCCTGGCCAACATGGCAAAACCCCATCTCTACTAAAAATACAAAAATTAGTCGGTTGTGGAGGTGCACGCCTGTAATCCCAGCTACTTGAGAGGCTGAGGCTTGGAGAATCACTTGAACCTGGGAGTTGGAGGTTGCAGTGAGCCAAGATCACACTACTGTACTCCAGTCTCGGCAATAGAGCAAGATTCCATCTCCAAAAAAAAAAACCAAAACGAAACAAAAAGTTGGGAGTGGAGTTCATAAATGCATGTATAAAAAGAAAACAGTAGTTTCACAAAACAGTTCACCCCTTAATACAAGTGACTGGCCAGGCACAGTGGCTGACGTCTGTAATCCCAGCACTTTGGGAGGCTGAGACAAGAGGATCACTTGAGCTTAGGAGTTCAGGACCAGCGTGGCCAACATAGTGAGATCCCATCTCTACTAAAAAAATAATAATTAATCAGGTGTTGTGGTACATGCCTGTAGTCCCAGCTACTTAAGAGGCTGAGAAGAGAGGATCAGTCACTTGAGCCCAGGAGGTGGGGGATGCAGTGAGCCCTGATCACACCATCACACTCCAGCTTGAGCAACAGAGCGAGACCCTATCTCAATAAATAAATAAATAAATAAATACAGGTGATATACTGGGAGATCTGATACTTTGTATTTTTCATGAGTTTTACACTGTATCTGTCCTACTGACTGGATCTAGGACCCCCTGTTAACTTCACTGAGCCCTCAGGTCTCCTCCCTCAGGTTTTCCCTGTGCAGTTGTCTCTGAGAGGCCCATGGCCGGATGGCCACACAGGCCAGGCTGGGGTCGTCCACTCCAGGCAGCCCCACGGGCCCCTCGCCTCACCACCCCCTGCCTGTTTGCTCTACAGGCCCCAGCGCCTTCACAGAAGCCGTGGCTTACATCCAGGCCCAGTACGAGAGCAAGAACAAGTCAGCCCACAAGGAGATCTACACCCACGTCACCTGCGCCACGGACACCAACAACATCCAGTTTGTCTTTGATGCCGTGACGGACGTCATCATCGCCAAAAACCTGCGGGGCTGTGGACTCTACTGAGCCCGGCCACCCCACCCAGCACCCTTGCCCTGCCTGGCCTGCCGCCCCCCTCCCCTGGAACCAGGCTCCACCACTCTCAGACCACAATTTGCACTTGAGGAAGATGATCCGAGAGGCTGGCACCAAGGGAGGGAGGAGGGAGCATCCTCCACCCGCCCCCCGGCCCCCAACATAGAACTGTGGTAACGCTGGGGCAGGCGGGGCTCCTGAGTGCACGCTGCAAGGCCAGGAGACTCCATGCTCATGGCCTCTGTGTCATCTCCCAGTGCTTTATCGGGAAGCTGGGAGGGCAGGGCAGGGCAGCCGTGTGGCCCAGATGGGCACACCCTGCACCTGATGACTCACTGGAAGCCTTGGAGTGTCCTCCTATCATCTTGGGTGGTGTAGTGGCGTGGACAGCCCTGCAGCAGGGTGCTGGCAGGGTGGGTCATAGGAGCCATCCTTCAGCTTTGCCTGGGGTCTCTGGTTGAGGGCAGCTCCGTCAACAAAAGCCAGGCTGGGACCAGGCCAACTTGGTGTGGGTTGGAGGGCTCAGGCCTTGGCGATGGCCTCCAGCTCCCTGTTCCCTCTCCTGGGTCTCAGCCCTTCCTTCTCTTGCTCGTCCGCCATTGCCTTGGCTCTTCCAGAGAACCCCCATCCCTGACTCCTCTGAGGCCTGGAAATGCTTCTTGAGACTGACTTATGTCTCAGATAGATGGAGGGAGGGAGGGGTGGAGGGAGAGGTGAGAGGTGCTGGGCAGGGAGGCTAAGGCTCCTGTGTCGCTGGGGCTGGGGCCTCCTGCCCAGTCCTTGCAGGCCCAAGGGTGACCCATCTCCTTTTTCCAGTCACCAGGAGCTCGGGTGGTCACTCTGAGGTGTGAATAGATGCTTTTTCTCCTCTAGTCCATACTGAATTCAACTCAAACCAGCAAAGGCCTTTGGGCTGGGGACCCTGTAGTTGCAGAGGTCTGGGGGATGTGGACCGTGCAGCCAGTGCCCCCCACCTCACTGTCTTGGTGAAGAAATCAGGGAGTTTGTCCGCAGACCTTGGTGTCCTCCCAGCCCCTGAGGACAGAGGAGAGCAGGGGTTGGGCCTGACACCCTGGAGCGTTTGGGCCCAGGTCAGCACAAACACACTCCCCTGCCCCTACTCTAAGGGGAGAGCCCTAGGACCCCTTAGAGGAGGCTTCACTGCTGAAGTCCCTGAGCAGAAAGGGGTGGGGTAGCTTCTCCTGGTGACAAAGGTCTGGCTGGCCTTGGGCAGTCAACACACCCCTCACTCCAAGATGCCTCCAGGTAGCTGAGGCTGCCACCCGCACCCAGGCATGTCATGTGCTTGTACAGCAGGCTGTGCCTGGGGACCCGGATGTGCCACAGGAGGGAAGAGGGCACCCCCGGAGAGGTCCCTGCCTCCCTCCTCAAGCCCTCCATTCTCCCTGCCCCCACTCTAGACACATGCAGCCCCCTGGGCCGCCCCAGAGTCAGGAAGCACCTGTACCAACAGCTCTGGGCTTGTTGGACCCACAGGCACAGAGCTCCAAGTGGTGCCAGGAGACCCAGGGACCTTCCCTAGTGCCAAATGCTTGCAGGGACTGGTGCCTGGGGAGCCTCTGGCAGCCAGGCTATAGGAGCCACCCCATTAGCCCAAGTCCACTTTCATTTTGTTCACCTGGGCCATGTTTTGGACCTTGCACCAGGCTGGGACATGGCAGAGGACAGGCCCTGGGAGCCAGCAGTCTTGGTGTCCTGCCATGGACAGCCAGGGCCAGCTAAGCCATCCTGTCCAACATGGAAGACATGGCAGTTCTTTCTCAGCAGCCCCATCCTGGGTGAGGCCAGCCGTGCCCCTAACTCTGCTCCAGACTAACTCCAGGCTCAGAAGCAGCTAGTAAAGGGGGGCTGTTGGTCACCTCTAAGGCCATCACCCTGGAGTTAGAAGTCACTGGGCTAGAGGGCTTTCTATGTCCCCCAGCAGCCTCCCTCAACCACAGTGGCCAGAGCATCGATCCAGGCCTTCCCCATCCATAGAATTGGGGCTGGAGGAGGGGGTGCTCAGGCCTTCCTGCCCTTGTCCCCATCCTGCCTTTCTCTTTTCTTGGATGCTCCGTCCTGCTTGGTTTCTTGCACTGCTCTCAGTCCTCCCACCCTGGCCTGCTGGGGGGTCCTTGGCCCTCAGGGGTATTCAGGGAGAAATTCTCTGCCTATGCATGATGCCTGTCATTCGTGTCATAACCGGCGGCTCCACCGTTAAAGGGGCGACTGAGGGTGACAGATGAGATTTGGCTCCGTCGTGGGTGTGGATGTGGGAATGTTGTGAGTGACCAGACATAGGTGGCCTTCTGATCCACGGTGGTCCTGCATATGTCCTGAGGGGTGATGGCCCGGATTTAGCAGGCCAAGTGGAAACTGATTTCTACGAAGAGCATCTTTGCCAAACTCATGAAAATTGTGCCTGCCACTCATTCCTATGGGCTGGTTTTCTGCCCTGCACCGCTGGCCATCATAAGAACCAGGTCTTGGCCTTCCCTCTAAGCACCTATAGAGGTCCCCAAGGCTCTCTGGTTTGAGGAGGGCATGGGGTCTGCCCAGCCCCAAGCAGAGAGCACAGCCTGGGCCCCTGGTCAACAGCTTTGGCATTCTGGGTTCCATGGGGACCCCAGAGCCCAGGCAGAAGAAGACCACCACACCTGCTGCCAGAACACAGCTCTGTCTCCTAGCCCCTCCCCACAGCCCAGCTCCCACTGGTGGGAACTGGAGGCATTCCTGCCCTCCATGGTCTGCACTGGTCTCCCCTGAGCGTTCTCAGGAGAAGAGGCAGCCCTAGGTTCCCACCTGCAAGCGCCATAACTAAGCGTCTACACACCCCCAACAGGGAAGACCCAGGGATCGTCCCACCCACGCCCTTCCCTTTGGCCAACATGAGCCCTGTAGGGGGAAGCTTAGCCCCTGCTCCCACCTAACACTCTACAATTAGCACCCAGGGGTTGATTCTGGAAGTTCTTCCTTTTTCTAGCCTGCATCCTTCCTGGCCACCCTGCTTCTTTTTCTCGGTCTGACCTGGTGCACTCTTGGCAAGTAAGTCCACTGCAGTCCCAGGTGAACACCATTTCCTCCAGCTCAGCTAGTGGCCTGCCCACCCCCTTTTCAAGAAGTCTGGGGCACAGAGTCTCCTCTGGCCACCTCTTTTCTTGTCTGAGCCTCTGGACACCTTCAGGCACAGCCTAGCAGCTCTCAGGAACCAATACCTGAGGCTCTGGATCCAGATCCACGGCCACCAGAGTTCAGTGAGCGGTGCCCAAGGCAATCACCCCCAGGCAGTTCCCGCTGTCAGGCCGCCAGCCTAGAGTGTGGGATCCCAGCAGCCCAGGGGACAGGGCCAGGGCATGAGCTGCTGCCGTGGAGTCTCCCACCCCTCAGCAAGCAGAGTCCTGACCCCACCCTGCCCAGAGAGGAGCTGGGGCCTCCAGACAGACCCCACTCCAGTCAGACTAAGGCCCCTGTCAAAGAAGGGCAGGCTGGGGGGAAAGCAGAAAGAATGGCCCCCAATCCAAACTCCTGGATCCCCTCCATGAGAGAGGGGCTCCCCCTGGAAGAGAAGCTCTCATCCCCAGGCCCAGTGCACCAAGACCACCAGCAGAGACTCTCTCCCTTTCCCAGCAGAGCCGGCAGCTCCAAGGCACCACTGTTCCTGTGGCCCCCTCCCTTCCTCACTCCTCCCCTCCCCTCCCATCTCCTGCTCCTGTGGCCCCCTCTCCCCACTCCTTTCCCCTCCCCTCCCCTAACCTACCCTGCTCCTATGCCCCCCTCCCCTCCCCTCTTGTCCCCTCCCCTCTCTTCCCCTTCCCTCCCCTCCTCTCCTCCCTGCTCCTGTGGCCCCCTCTTCCCCTCCCCTCTCCTGCCCTCTCCTCCCCTGCTCCTGTGGCCCCCATCCCCTTCCATACCCTCACCTCCCCTCCTCTTCTCCCCTGCTCTCTGCCCTGCTCCTGTGGCTCTCATCCCCTCCCCTCTCATTCCCTTCCCTCTCTTCCCCTCTCCTCTTGTCCCCTCCCCTCTCTTCCCCTCCCCTGTCTTCCTTTCTCCTCCCCTGCTCCTGTGGCCCCTCTCCCCTCCCCTCCCCTCCCATCTCCTTCCCACCTTCTCCTCCCATCCCCTCCCACCACATTTCTCCCCCAACTCTGGGCAGCCATGCCCTCCCATTCTGCTTCTGGTCTCTACTCTACTGGATCTGACCCAACTCCTAGCTCAGCCCACTGTCCGCCACCCTGCCCCTGCTGAGCACCTTCTTCCTCCCCATGCACCCCTCCCCCTTCTAGGCCAGGTGGGCTCAGGCGCCCCAGGCCCTCCTTAGAAAAGCCAGGCCCTCCTTAGAAAAGCCGTCTCTCTCATGTGCAGTGGTCCCACCTCCCAACTCCGCCACTGCCATCCACCCCGTATTAACTGTAATTTTGTAAGAAGAGTGACTTGTTGGTTTAATAAATCTAGTTATTGTAATAATTTATTGGCTGCCATAATGTATTTATTAGTCACCTGCCGTTAATAAAAAGTACCCGCTTTCCTAGCGTGAGTGTGGTGTGTTGTCAGGGCCCAGGGAGCTCCTGCCAGGCGCATTTGCCCCATCCTGGTCCCAGGACCTTAGGCAGTCTGGCGGATCAGGCACACTTCTGCTGGGGACAGAGGATTGGGGCGACTGGGTGCCCTGTCAGGATTGCCGTCCGGCACAAGGCTGCCCCATTCTGCGCCGAGCCACCTTCCTGTCCTGGCGAGCTTGGTGGCCGCCTGGACACTGCTGTGGTTGACGCAACAGTGGCCTTGACTGCACTGGCACGGCTTCCTGCTGCTCCTGGGCATCCACTGCAGCCTGGGGCAGGTGGAGGTCAGTGGCAGGGCTGTCAGCCATCTGTGAACCCTGGATTCTTTCTCTTTTCTCAAATGGTAGCATCTCTGTTTTGAATGTACTCCGGCGTTTGCTTCCTCTAGGGTGCTTGTAAGGATGGGCTGTGCTCTCGACTCTTTGGTGACGGGTTCCAGGCAGCATGCCAAGGGAGGGTGGTCAGGCCTGGGGGGCTGGCGGGGGTCTCAGTGCCGGCATTTCCCCTGCCTTGCAGAAGCTCCCCTCCTCACTGCCCTGCTGAGCACCCTCTGCCTCCGTCCCCCACCTGAGTCTCCAGGATCAGCCGTCTTTTGGGGCTCCCTCCAAGGCCTTCTCCCCATAAAGCCAGGTTTGGCTCTGCCTGTCCTCTGCTCCCCAAGCCCTCCCCTGCACTGCCACTCCTGAGACCACAGACTGTGCGTCGTCTTTCTCCAGCTGGACTCTGAGCTCTCGGAGAGCAGGAGCCTAACATGGTCATTCTTACGTCCTTGGGGCAGCCTGGCAGGGAGCCTCACACACAGATGCCAGTCAGTACTGACTGGAAGAACGAATGCGTGTGAGTCGTGCTCTGCAGCCCTGAAGCATGGGGGCTGTGGAGGGGCTGAGCCTTAGCCAGTGGAACTGTGGAGCCTGAATGAGCCAGCCTTGATTTCTCCTCCACACCTAAGCTCGGTGGTGGCCAAGGGGCACAGTCCCCACTCCCAACTCAGGTCACCCAAGTGGCGTTTCCTGGCAATGCCCAGACAGATGTGCAGTGGAGGAGGGAGCGCAGCTCTGGCTGTGGGTTTCCAGCTCTCTGTGCAGCTGCAGGCCCAGGTGGCTCTGTGGAGTGGGGTTTTGTGGGTTTCCGGCTCTCTGTTACGCAGCTGCGGGCCGAAGTGGCTCTGTGGAGTGGGGAGTGTGTTCCTGTGGAATCCTTTTGGTCTCAAGAGCCCCGCCACTCTGCCCTCATATGTGGCTCAATTAGCTTGAGTGTGGGGAGCTTGAGGCCCTGAATCTGGGTTCACTGGGCCTTAGAAGCCTCTGGCTGCTCTTTTATGAACAGACCCTAACAAGGTGGCTCGGGGCAAGTGAGACCTGCTCCTCCCCAGTGAGATCACACAGATGACAGGGAGATGCTCCTGGGGATTGAGAAGGAAATGTACTGATTGAGGACAGGAGAGGTGATGAGGTCACATGAGTTTACTGAATCTGTTTAGCAGAATGTAAAGGCAGTGCCATGTACTACAGCTCCGGGCTGGGGCAATAAAGCCGTGCCAGCTGTCCAGGTGCCCCTGAGAGGCAGCTGAGAATTCTGCCCCCTCCACCTATCAACTTCAGCCGGTAGGAGCAGGGTCTGGGGCTGGCCGCCTTTATGTGTCCTGGTAGAATGACGCAGGCATGGGAGAGATTCGGAAGGGAGGACTGGCCGTGAGGTGCACGGGGCCCGCCACGCTGTTGTTAGCATCGGTTCCTCGAAAGCCCCACACAGCCTGATGATAGGGACCGGAGAGACCCATTGCATAAGTTCTGGATCTGGCCCAGCTGTGTCACTGAAGTGTCCCCTCAGGGCGGATGAGGTTAAGTGATGAGGCAGGGAGAGTGCCGGCACAGCGTGGGCCTGGGTGCCTGGTGTGGTCACTGCATCTTTGTTGCCCTCCTGCTCAGAGAGGATGGTGTGGCGGGAACCAGCAATTCGTCAACACCCACAGCGTGCTCGTCCCTGGGGAGGAGTTCATCTCCCCATGAACAACGCCCAGTGGCGTCTACACCAGCTCTCTTCTTTTTCCTGTTACTTGTGTCACTCTTCTTACTTCAGAGGTAGAGTTTAGCCTGGGTCACCTCTGGGCTTTAGATCCAGGGAGCTGGGTTTACAGTGGGCAAGCTCCCAGGGCTAGGACGGGGACCTTGGGGAAAATAAGGGAAACTGTCCCTTCCTCCCCCTCCCCGTGCAGAAATGGATTGGTTCACAGAGAAAGATGCCCTCCGAACTGCCAAGAAACAGACTACCCAAGTGAATGTGCTCAGCATCCCTAAGCAGAGTTCTTGCCCAGGGCAGAAGGCTGGCCCCTCGGTTAAGCTTCTTTGGGGTGCTCATCATGTTCATCCGTTTGCCAAACAGCCTCCTGTGTGCAGGGCAGCCCTCCACATCTGCCTTGCTTAGAATGCCGTGCAAGGACTGCTGTGTAGCCCAGTCCCTCTCTGTGACTGAGTAGGACCCAGACAGGAGGTGCAGCCAGTCCCCCAGGCACTCTTGGAGTGACCCTGCCAGGAGCCTCTCCCCTGAGTGGTGGCCCACAGGATGCTGGCAGGACCTGGCATGCCTTCCCCTCAGACCACGGGAGGGTCCTGGAGCCTCGCACCACTCCCAGAGGACATCTCCCAACCCAGGATGGACCCAGAAGGAGAGGTCTAGGCGGGAAGGGCCAAAGCCCAGCTCTCTGGCTCCAGTCCAGCCTCCACTACTCCCAGCACACACACACACCCACACACACACAGATGCACACCACACACAGGCACGCACACAGGCATACACACACAGGCGCAAAAACAGGCACACATTCAGGCACATGCACGCACACAGGTACACAGGCATGCACACACAGGCACACACAGGCATGCACACGCAGAGGCACACAGAGGCACGCACACGCATGCACACACAGGCACACACACCACAGGCGCGCACACAGGCACGCACACACACGTGTGCTGGGAGGCCCTCCCATAGCTGGGGACTCTGCAGTGAGGAAGCCTGGGTCACCCTGTCCTCAGCCTCCCCAGAGAGCCATGGCTGGTGCCCAGTCTAGTCTCTGCCTCTGGCCCTGACATGACGGGTGCTCTGGAAGCAGGGAATGAGATGTGCTGTGAGGTGTGACCGACTCAAGTTCCCTCTGGCAGCCTCTGGGAGGAGCTGCTGTGTAGCCCAGTCCCTCTCTGTCAAGCCTAATCCTCTCCTTCTCTTTCCCTGTCTCTGTGTCTCCCTCCCGCTGTCTGTCCTCTCTCCGCCCTTCCTGCGGCCGCAGAACCGCATGCACGAGTCTCTCATGCTCTTCGACTCCATCTGTAACAACAAGTTCTTCATCGATACCTCCATCATTCTCTTCCTCAACAAGAAAGATCTCTTTGGCGAGAAGATCAAGAAGTCACCTTTGACCATCTGCTTTCCTGAATACACAGGTGGGTGCCAGGCAGTGCTGTGTAGGGGGAAGCCCTCCCCTGGCTCAGAGACAGGCTGCTGGGCCAGCACCGTTGGGGCTGGCTGGCATGCGGGACCCACTGCAGGAGTGTGGTGGGGCGAGGAAGAAACAGCGCTGTGCCACCAGGTTTGGGCTTCCAGGACACAGCCCTAGGCGTGGTGGGAAGGGCCCCTCCTAAGATATATGTGTTATGACCAAGGGACTCAGGAGTGACATGGTGGGGAGCAGGGCGCAGGACAGGATCACAGGCTTCCCCCTTCCTCCTGGTCTCCCTCTAGAAGAGGTCTCAGGAGAGCCTCCTGTAATCTCAGCAGTGGCCTCCCCTCACCCCTGCCCAGGGCCACACAGTGCCTTTGCATGAAACCAAAAGGTGGGCATGTGGCCTGTGAGCGGGCCTGGGCTGCCTCTTGGCCCCCACCTGCTTTCTCCACTCCCTGCTTTGGTGCCTGGAACATGCTTCCTCTCTGCAGCCTGGGCCCAGCCAGACCACCCCACCCCACCCCGCATCGTGCCTGCTCTCCCTTCCCAACCCCAGCCCCTTCGTGCTTCCTCTCTCCCCTTCTTCCTCAGCCCCCGGTCTTTGCCCCAAATCC